GGCTTGATCAAAGCAGCAACACAGGTTGTATTGTTCCCATGTGAAGTCCTTGATGCTCACTGAGCTTGCTTATTTTCTTGCAGATATTTTATTACCCAACTAGGTAACATCATCAGTGCTAGCAAGGAATGGGGTTTACTCTCACTTTATATTGTATTGTATCCATCCTCCAATTGTTGCTTATTCTGCTAAATGAAAACACACCAATAGGTACACAGTTCTGGTTCTCTTGGTCTCTGTAGATGTAGTGTGTGCTACATTAGCTCCCATTGGGACCTCATCAACAATGTGTTTTATCTGCAATGCAAACAGCATGTGTTAAAAACTGAATTGGATAACCTTACTCCGTTAGATCAGTTCTCTCTCTCCCTGGCAATGGCATTCAAAAATGTTTCTTCATCGTTATGTGCCTGTGTTGTTTTACTGGAAATATTGACAAGTGATTCTAAGCCTGCAAGGAATGATACAAAGTAGATGTTCTTTTTCTGACCTACAAGTATTTATTATTCTTACATCCCAATCAGTGGTGAAATCTAAAATTTGTTACTACCAGTTCTGAGGGCGTGGCTTGGGGGGGTAATGTGACTGGGTGGACGTGGCCAATTTTTTTTTTTTACTTTTAAAACCATTTTTTCTACAACCTCTTCGGCGAAGAGGTTATAAAAAAATGCTTTCAAAAGGCTCTGATGATCCCAGCTGAGTTGCCTGATCGTCAGAAGCTTTTTTAAAGCCTCTGCCAATCAGACAACTCAGCTTGGATCGTCAGAGGCATTTAAAAGAAAAAAAAAGGGTTTTTTTCTTTTAAATGCCTCTGACGATCCAAGCTGAGCTTTTGGCCTCTGCCGATCAGGCAACTCAGCTTGGATCGTCACAGGCATTTAAAAGAAAATAAGTTTTTTTTTCTTTTAAAAGCCTGACGATCCCAGCTGAGCCGCGTGATCATCAGAGGCTTTTTTTTTTTTTTTTACTTTTAAAAGCATTTTTTGGCCAAAGAGGTAGTAGAAAAAATGCTTTTAAAAGTAAAAAAAAAAAAAGCCTCTGATGATCACGCGGCTCGGCTGAGCGGGGGGGGCAGGGATTTTTGCTACTGGTTCTCCGAACCACCCACCACCATCGCTACCGGATCGGGCGATCCGGTTCGAACCAGGAGCATTTCACCTCTGATCCAAATCCTTTTGAGAGATCAATGAATAGTTGCTGCCAAACTTTGGAACTTCCATACCAAGAGACGTCAAGCTAGCTCTTCTGCCTGTTGGCAGGAATAAATAAAGTTAGTTTCTAACTGTTGGAGCTGGGAGCATGTGGGGTATGTGTTGAATTGACATTATTTATTTATTTATTTATTTATTTATTTATTTATTTATTTATTTATTTATTATCATATTTCTATGCCGTCCACTCTCCGAGGACTCTGGGCGGCTTACACCAAAGACAGTATACTAAATAGCATATTGCCCCCAACCATCTGAGTCCTCATTTTACCCACCTCGGAAGGATGGAAGGCTGAGTCAACCTTGATCCAGTGAGATTTGATCCGCTGATCTGCTGAACTAGCAGTCAGCTGAAGTAGCTGCAGTACTGCATTCTAACCACTGCGCCACCTCGGTAGTAGAGCTTTAGATAAATTAAATTGTTTGTATACTATTAGGAACTGGAATAGAATCAAATAATTTTTTGTATAAATGTATGAATCCCGTTTCAGAATGCAGTCCAGAAAACTATTCCAATGTACAAAACTGCCACCAAAAAAGATGTCGATGTTCATGTTGATCAGGACAATTTTCTTCCAGAAGACATGTAAGAAACAAACACAGCTAGAAACAAAAAAATAACTTGCTGAAACTGTTTAATATAGTGATGGTCATTGTTTTAAATAGGGCTTGCGTAAGGTAAATGAACTTGGGATTTTCTCGTATGAAATGTAGTTTAGTGGGAATTTGCTCTGTCCTGTACTTGATAGCGTATATTGGGCAGACCCAGTGGCCTTGATCTTTCATTTAGGTCAGGAGGTTAAACCAACCCTATAGGTAGATTTGTCTGTTGTGGTCTTTATGGATAGATAGATCGTAGGCATCCTATTTTGGATTAGTGGTCTTACTTATATACCACGGTTTCTCTTATTTTGGTTTTAATTCTCGGTGTACCTCCCAGATTCACTACTGTGAGATAGGGAGCTTCATAAACTGCCTTATTCTTCTCTCTCCCTCCCTCTCATCAGACTTCTAACCATTGTAATGAATGACAGAATAGTGGGAGTGATTTCATGTGCCAGCATGTTCATTAGCATGTATTTTTCTCTTCTAGAGCCGGAGGTGTTGAAATTTATAACAGTGACAATAGAATTAAGGTATCTAATACACTGGAAAGTCGCCTGGATCTCATTGCTCAGCAGGTAGCCCTAGAAATTTTTCTCTTGTATGGATGAAATGTTTTCCATTTAACTCTATGCAGTCAACTCATTCAATTCTTGGGTCAGTCATGGTTTTGCTATGGGACATCATGGCAACTTGAGTGCTGGGGTCTACAAGTCCATCAAACAACAGCCCTGACACCAAGAAAAGCTATCTGGGGGCTACTTGATTTAGAAACCCTCCTCAGTCTTGGATTTCAACCTTTTCTCTTATGTAAGCTCTTTGCCCACGATATAGCAATTTCTGGAAAGACTGTGAGATGCGAGGCGAGGCTCGGCTATGGTTTCTACCATAAGCATTCTTCAGTATTTAGAAGTAGAAGATCTTATTGCCATCTTTTTCTAAGGTGCATGCCTTTTAGCATACTTTTGACTGAATGACTGTTAAGCGTGTTCTAGAAATTTGCTGGATCGTCAAGGAATACTCAGAACTTTTCTTTTTTTTTCCCCCCCAACAGATGATGCCAGAGATCCGGACAGCACTTTTTGGTGCCAACAGTAACAGGAAGTTCATGGACTAAATTCCTTGGAATGCTGGTGGAATTCTCTTCCACCGTTGTGCTGAGGGGAAATGCTGGAGCATTTCCAATAAAACACTGTCCCTTCCCCTAAAATGTACGACATGCTCTATTGTGTTACCTGAATACGTTTTTTTTCAGTTAAATTATTAACTTTTGCATACTTGCTGTGCTTAATCTGAGAGAAAGGCAGGAAGAACTTTTTCCAGAGAGTAATGGTGCGGCATCCAAAAATGAAGGCATTTGCACTCTTTTGAACCAGACCAATGAGAGAAATAATTTGGAGCTCTGTCGTCAGTCTCCAGTATTGTTCTTTCCCCTCAAAGCATACCACCAGTCTGTGCTGCTTATCTATTTTATTCCTTTCCAAAGCTTACGTTTCACGTGCCGATGACTGCAAACCCCACAACATCCCCAATCTGGTGCTTCCCAGGCCGGGAAAAAAAGCAAGTCAACCAGTTAACTTGGTTTTAGTCCCAGAATTTTGTTCTGTATATGTGATTGAAACTATATATATATATGTGTGTGTGTATACGCACTCTCATTGTGCTGGAGTTTATTAAAATGAAAAGCATGCAATCCTGTGTTTGATTTTTTTGTTGTTGTTGGGGACGGACATTACAATCACATGCAGTTTATGAAAACAAATGCGTGGCAGCTGTAGTTTGTTAGATATGGGGAACCTGATATGAAGTTAGTTCCTCGTGGAATCAAAAACTTCACATTGACGTTAGGAAAACGTGTATTTCTGAATATCAATGTTGACTAATTAGATGCTTTCTGGAAATTTTGAAGAATAATCATAATTTACAAAATGCTGAAGTACTAGATAGTTTATATCCACCTCTCACCTGTTTTCTAAGTACAATGTAATCCTTTTAACTCAAATTAGGATGAGAGTGTTCTGCCAGAATCACTAAGAAGACAAGACCAGGTTAAATATCTTGTGCAAACCAGGTCATAATGTAAGCTATAGGAATGGGTTTAAATTTATCAGTCTTAAATAAAGCCACAACAGGATTATCTCAGTGAATTGGGCAGGTTCATCTATCAATAGACTGGGGATATTTCTCAAAATTTGCTGTAATTTTTGGACAGATTGAAGCTGTTGCTGTTCAGATAACTACCACCGGTTTTCAAGCTACGTCCACTGAAGCAAAATTGAACTGAAAGTAGGAGTAAGATCATTACCCCCTTGAGGATTAGAAAAATGAATGCTTCCCAAAAAGAGAAGATGAAAGATATGCAATCACTCATAGATAACCAGTCAGATGAAAATAAGCTGACTTATTTTGAGATATTGGTACAGTGTTTTCCAAGTTATTAAGTGAAAATGAGAAAATAAGATTAATCATGAATGTAATAAGACCAAGGAAACATTGGTATGCCTTTTTGAAATCTTTTGAAGTTGAAGAGAAGTTTGATAGTATTGAACTTATTGATACATTCTGATATTTTATACTTTAAAAATAAATATCAAAAATTACCTCCCAAACCTTATGGATATAGGATAATAGTTTTCAAGTTATTCAATTAATTGTTATGGATTTAATCTTTTGTCTATAAAATATACTGAATTTTGTAAAGCATGACCTCTTACAAGTTTCTTAATTTAACTTATAAGTCTGATAAAATGAATGTTACTCTAAAACTGAAATATTTTTGAGGGGGAATCTTACCTTTTTAAGACTAACAGATCTAGCGACAGACGTTTTAGTGACAAGAACCTTAGGTTTCCTTTAAAGTATGTCTGTCTTATGGAGAAACAGGTTTTAATTTTTCAGGTATTCAGCCTTATCACTGGGCTTATATTTTGATCTTTATCTCTCGTCAGGGAATTCAAACCATTATTTTTAAAATCTGTTATGTGTATAACTAGAAAGTGAATATTAGTCTCCTTTCCTAGCCAATTCTTTACAGAGACTGATTTGACCTAGCTTTGTTTTCCCCAATCAGTTGTCATTCCTCTATTAAAGGCTGCTGGAGGAACAAGTTTAACTTTGGTCCCAATTCTTGGATAACTCGAGTTTGAAAACTTGAAAAAAAAACTCATGGACAAAAAAAAACAGCACTAATATTCTGGATCAGTTTATTTTTAATATCCTTTAAAAAACTGGCAGTGCTGCAGGAAGAATTTGTCGCCAATATTAGTGAATGGTAAATCTATGCAACTAAAACTTCTATACATTTTGGACCAGGCACAAATAAGAGGTATAAAGCCTATGCACGCAATGATAGAAAGGTATAAATATATATATATAAACACTTGTTCGAGTCAAATGTGGCTCCACTGAATATAAGCACATAGTTTTTCTCAGCAACAGTATTGAAATAGTTTGCCATTGCTTTCTTACAGGATGTTTTTCTAACTTCCAGTCTAGCCTAAAGCTCCTTTTGGTGGTGGTGGTGGTGCTGGTGGTGGTAGACCATTCACAATTGGACAGGAACTGATTATGGGTCGCAATGATGTGGCCTAGATGCATCCTTGGAGAAAAATACCATAAAGGCAACTTTGTGCTATTCTAAAAGCAGGTACTATTGTCAGAAGCCTGTAGCGGGCTCCGTTTTTAAAAAATTTTTTACAGAGGCTCTAATTTTGGAAAGTGTTTGTGGAGCCTCCTTTAAAATGGAGCCCCCGGCCTATAAGCTCGCAACAATCGTGCCTGCTTGCAGAATACTGTAGCACAAGGTTGCCGTGAGATAGCGTCTGTAGGGAAAGCTGATCCTTGCATCATTCCAGCTGGGAGCCTTTGTAAAAAACAAACAAACAGATAACTTGGGTGCTGCTGGGCCCTGAAGATGGCTGAGGAGCAGGCAGAGTCCTGCAAATTCCTTGGGTGGCTGAGTGAAAAGAAAGCCCCTGCGTGCCAGTAGCCGTCTTATGCCCCTTTGGGTAAGGGGCTGGGTAAGAAGCAGACAAAGGCCTGCAGGGACCCCAAGAAGCAGAGCATGGGATGCCTTGGGGTAGGGGAGGCTTGGGAAGTCTAGGGCAGGTGGGCCTGGGCCTGTCCCGGGTCTCCCCCCACCCCTGAGGTACCCCGTGCTTTGCTTAACAACTCATGCATTTCATTTAATGGCCACATCAAGGCAAGCAGATAGTGAAAGTTATTAAGCAAGGCCATCTCACTTAAGAGCTGCCAACATCTGCGACTGTAATGGGCAGGCCCCATTACGGTCTTCAGTTGAATACTACTTGTATTGCATTTGCTATTTCAGTTGTTTTTACAGATGCTATAGCTTTCAAATACGCTTTCAATCAAAGAATGCTCTGTCAGATGTAATTAATCCAATGAAGATTTACCCAGAATGTGTGTATTTAGAAGCACAACTTCTATATTCTAATTTGCTGAAAGTCATCTGCGGAATAATAAAAAAAGAAGCAATGGTGAACACTGGGATTGGTATTCCTTCTAGGCCATCTTTCCTGGATGGTGGTTTATGATCCACAAAAATGCTCCCAAGATGGTTCTGTTGGTTTTCAAGTGATTGTTTGGAATTTGTGCAAATTTAACCCAGAGTCGTCTTCAACTGCAAGATGGCGCTATTGGAAAAAGCTCATGATCCATTCTCCAATGCCAATGAAATAGACTCCTTGGGCTATGCCAAAGAGGGGAGCTATCACCAGTGCACGACATCCTGCTCCTTTCATAAAAGCGGAAGGACCCTCATGAATCCAGATCTTCCTGCAGGTAATTCACAGAAAGATAATTTCAGTAAAGATATCCTGAGTAGCAGCTGTTGCTCTCAGCAGCAGAAGTGCATCAAACATTAGGGCTTTTCATATTTCAAAAATTATTTAGAAGAGGTATTCTGGAACCCACAGCATCACATGTGCAGCACTTCTCTTTAAAGCAACTATATCTCTTTTTCAGACTTCCAAGTGAATCTGAAAAAAGACATCTTTTAAAATGAGTTGACTCATTAAATCAGCCTTGTCGTTTTAAAGGCTCCCACAGAAGTCTGAAAAGGGCAGTAACCACATTGAAGGGATATCATTGCTTTTGCTCCTATGCATTCCAAATGTGCCTCAGCATTTTTGCAGAAAGGTAGAGTCTAATTTTTGTGAATTTCCATCACAGTTTTGCTTTTTGCAGGCAACAGTTGGCATTTGGGACATGGAAGATGCAACATCTGTTGTTTCAGGAATGGCATTAAGAGTTTTAAGGGTAGCACAGAACTATCTTTGGAAACATGCCCTCCACCTCCCATCTCCACCCCAAAGTAAATGTAAACTCAAGGGCAGACTCAAGAACATTTTGTGTGAATTGTACGGTTAGAAAAAAACACATCTTTATCAGTTAACGTTTCATCAAATGATATTGAGTGATTGCTCACACCCACCTGCAGCCATTTTGTGAACCAACAGAACATCCACAGCTTATTTGTTAAATTCCAAATGTATCCACCAGTTCAGACAAGTTGGGGTTTAAAGCCTTGGCGTACGGGGAATATTTTTCAGAGTTCAAGTGTTTAATGCTTAGATAATGGTTCACAGAACAGGAATCCTACTTAATTCTGTTTACCTGGCACAGTCAATGATTCCATTGTAGGTATCTTCTCCCAGTCCCTTCTGCAGAGTTTGGATGCGAGTTTTTAGAACTGTAACAAGATAGTTTGTTTAATCTATGTAAAGAAATTTGATCTAAGACTTACACATCTTTACAGATTTACAGATACTGCAGAGCAATATCTTCAAGACTCAGATTTTATTATTTGCTTATTTCTTTCTGGACAAGCAGCTGCTCAATTAAATAAACCTGCAAAAATGCTCATCTCTGATTTGAGTTTTACTACAGTAGTAACTATGTGGTGCTTTCTTTCCCGAACTGCCCCAAACTCTTTTAGTTTTAGATATACTAGCTGGTACCATGTTTTCCCGAAAATAAGACCCTGTCTTATATTTTTTTGAATCCTGAAATAAGCGCTTGGCCTTATTGCCATGCGCTCAAAAGCCCGATTGGGCTTATTATCAGGGGATGTCTTATTTTGGGGAAAACAGGGTAGTAAATTGTGATAGGATGAAGATAAGCCTTTTTTTATTTTTGCAGTAGCATCATCTACTACTCACCATCCAATGGTGTTACTGCAACTGCAGCCAGAGATCCCGCCATACAGCCAGACAGAAACGAATGAAAGAAAGATGCTTTTTCTTCAGAGGTCTTTTGTCCTAACTTGTTAAGGTTGGCAAAGAGTGGAAAATAAATGATGGAAAAAGGGACATCCCTATTGAGAGAAGTAGAATATTTTAGGTAAGCCTTGGGAGAGATTTTCATATTTCTCACTGAAGCAAGTTGCTAATTTTGCTTCATTAGTAACTCAAGAAATTATGACTAACTTTATATTTATGAAATGTAATTTCCAAGCCACTAATTCTTCTTCTTCTTGTGCCATATCCGTCATCGGACGTTGGCGATCATGTTGGCAATCCTATTTTTGTCAACAGCCGTATGAAAAAGTGCTGCTGAGTTTTGTCCAAACCAGTCCCTTAGGTTTTGAAGCCATGATGTTCTTCTTCTGCCTGGACCTCGTTTGCCTTCAATCTTTCCCTGGAGGATTAAGTGAAGGATGCCGTATTTTTCTGGATGTCGCATCACTTGCCACTGATATAGCAAGTATATTGGGTTTTTATTGCCTACTTTCTTGGAAGCATGTAATGCAGCATTTTCAAATCATGTGCTTCCCCTCATTTCAGTGACTCAAGTTACAGTTCTTCCTCAGACAGGTAAAGATTTTATGATATTCTCAGTGGAGACTTCTTTCATTGGCTAATATAGATTTTAACAGCCCCTTTGGCACTTAAGCTACACCTTGTTTCTCCAGCTATTATACATCCATTTCAAGATGGATTTATGTACGACCCACATATTTCCCATAATATAAAATGTCCAATGTTTATATTTGCTTTACATAATATATATTGATGATGAGAAAGCTTTTGATATGCTTTCTTATAAATTACTAAAATAAAATTTGATTTGCATTGGATTTCTTCAAAAAGTTATATTTAGTATTGATCTATTTTATTCAAAATAAAAAGCCAGTTGTAGGGAAATGGACTCCAATTCTGAAGTCAACGGAGACGTTTTACGAGTGTAAAATATGTTGAAGCCAATCAAGTTCTCTTCTTAGACCAATAGATGTTACTACCATAGAACTTATCAAAAAAGGAGATTCACACACTCTTTTCACCTGAGTAGGGTGGCCCCAAGCCCTTTATACAAGCCTGCTATCCCCTGGGTGCGCAGCAGTTCACTTGCAATTCTAGTGGCAGAAGGGCGTTTGGAGGCCGCCATAGTTCCAGTGGTGTAAGGCTGTCCTTGTGGTGGGTGAGAAGAGGCAGCAGTTCTTTCCTCCAGCCCCAGGGCTTTCTGCTGATGAACAGCTGAAAGACAGAAAGACCTGTCTTTTATCCTACCAATAGGCAACTCTCTTTCATCTTCTGTTGAGTTCTTTGAACCAGAAGATGGTTTCATATTGTTTCTGAACCACGCTTGCAAAAGTTTTCATAAAAAATTCTCACCAAAAATTATACATATATCAAATCTTGAACTCTGAAGGCTATATTATTAAAAGTTGTGGGTCTTACACAAGCAGATCTTCAACATTTCATGGGTAAAAATAAGGAAAATAAGTCTTGGTTGAGTTAAATGCAATTCTTGGTGAGGTCCCATGCGTTTCCCCAGCAATAACATAGACGTAGTTTCTCAATTTTTAAAAAATCTCTCAGTCTAATCTATAGTTTAAAAATTTCTTAGTGGTTGTTCGTTCATATACTAAGCACATGACTCTGCTTAGCTCCCAAAGTCAAGTAAGTTCAACCAGCTGCTCCCATTCCTTCAGGCAGTTGCATATTCCTATTTGCATACAAGCTTCATTATGCATTACTCAATCCACTGCTCTATCTGCCTCAAACTATATTAATTTGCTGCCTGTCCACCCCTGAAAATTTAAAGACAGATGTTTTTCTAACAGTAGCTAAGACAGACACCATGTCTGACATTATGTCATTTAGGATCAGTTAGATTTCACCTGCAGATGTGAAATGAGAAGTTGTGCTCCACAAAAAACAGTCTGTCTCAACCTGGTGCCCTCCAGATGTGTTGGACTTCCGTTCCCAGAATCCCTAGCCAAGATGAGAAAGGTTGATGTAGAGTCTGTTTTTATCACATGTATCACTTATACGTGCATGTACTAAAAACAGCAGCACCTTCCTCTGGGATTTAACTTAAATAACCCAACAGAAGGAAATGAGGACTGGGAAACAGCCTACCCCAAACTGCTGCCCTCTAGATGTGTTTGACTGTAAGTCCCATCTTCCACACCAAGATAAGCCGTCATCATTGGCATTTGGTTATATCGTATAACCCTTTGGTCTCCCCAAAAGTAACTCTGTAACTGTGTTCTGTCCCCTGTCCTCACACAGACAAATGCAATATCAAACATGCCTGCCAATAATTTATTATATAAACAGACCAGAAATCCTGGCAGACGAGAGTTCTGGCAGCCTGCCCAGTTCAATTAGTACTCCCAAAAAGCAGGAGAGGCCTTATCTGCAGTCCGTTTCCAGAGCAACAAATTATCCACAAGAGTTTAGTCCAAAATATATCTGAGCCGAAGTGCAGGATTCACGATGTGACTCTTTAATAAGAGTTTAAACTTTTGTCCGTCACAAAGCCTGCCGAGCAATCATGCCCTCTTTTATCCCTTGTGGGGCATGGCTCAGTGACTCAGCTTAATCCCTGGCCCTCCCATGCCTCTTCCTTTGCTGGGCACACTTCTCCCTCTGACGCTGCCTGGGATCAAGCCAGGATTCATCATTATCACTCTCTATTAATGGTGCTCCAAAATGCCTTCCTCCTGGCCCATCCCAGGCTGTTCCTCCTGGCCTTCGGATGGAACCTGAGGCATTGCCAGAGGAAGGTCCTGGAGAGGGAGGCCTTGTCAATTCCTCCTCTTCACCTTCTGAGTCCTCTTCCTCCATGAGGACAGGCTCGGGAGTTGGAGTCACAACAAACTGTACAATTGCAGGAACAGATACTGTTCTGAGGCAGCTTCTGTGCATTAAAAATGGCAAAAGGCAGTGTTTGCCATTTGTAGTGATGAAACTCTATAGAGTTTGGTGAATGAGTTATTTTATCACTAGTTGGAAAGTGCTTTGCTCCACCTCCTAGCTTTGGGTTTGGGTCAGACTTCACCCACTGCCCACAGAGGTTTGGCTACAGTGGCATCATGATGAGATCTTTTAATTTTCCTAGTCTTAAACATAACAGAGGGATAAATGCAAGGCTTACATCTCCCTCCATAGTAACAATTTATTTTTGGTCTCTCTGGAATTCAAAGGGCAAATGCAAGCAACATATATTAGAAACATGAAATGGGACCAAGATATTGACTGGCTGCTGTTTTTTCCATTCTCTTATTTATTGGCCAGCTGGGAAGGTGATACTTTTTGTTGGTATTTTTGTGGCTGGCAGATAAGAATATAAGAACTGTCCTAGCAAATATGAACATTTATGTATGCAGGAAGCAATTTTGCTACAAAAATGAAGCCAAATTGGTTTTTGTAATCTTTACAGTTTCTAGTATTGAGGCGCTCACCTAACCGTCCAGCATCCTGAAGCTGAATTTTCAACATTTCCATCGGAGTTGTGACCACCACTTGGCATGTCCCAGCTCCACAGCCAGCCAGCATTTCGCTGGCCAATGACAATTCTTTTCTGTTAAGAATAGCACAAAGGTACAGGACCAGTTCAAAAGGGCAGATGGAAACAATGCTCAGACTGGAGCAAGATTACAAACAGAGAACAAATGCTTTTTTCCCCATACCCATCCACGGAGAGCAACTGTCGGAAGAAATCATTGGCTGCCAACTTGATCGCCTTTTCAGGAGTGACAAGAGTGAGGTTTACAGCAGCCCCTTGGAGAGAACAGAAGAGGCATTAAGGAGCCTTGATGGTGACTTTACTGGCTCATCCCTACTCCCAACAGGAAATGTTGATCGCTTTCACTTGCAGACAAGAATCCACAAAAGCAATAATATTTAAATAAAACAAGCTTCAATTATTACTGGATATATATATATATATCCGTCTTCCTATATTCTCTGTATAATCTTAAGTAAACATTCCACCAAAATAATAATAAAGCAAATGCAATACTAAATATCATTTATTCAGAAACATTAAGTCTCTGAGTCTAACACAACTCCTAGTGTTTTTCATGTAGTTTTCTTTCCAACGATACAAAAATACCAGCGTTGCCTTGTTTGAGCTCCCAGTGTAGCCTACAGCCCTAGGATTTCCTGATCCTAGGATGAGATTTCTCTCATCCAAGTACTAACCCTTAGTGTTTTAGATCACCCAAACTCAACTAAGTATTATCCTCTTAGGGCTTCAGAAAAAAAAAATTAAAGTACCAATTATATAATAACTGTTAAAGTCTTACAGCATGTCCCGATTTTTTTCACGTTTCAAATTCAGTCATGAAGGATGTAGATAGGTTCAACTCAACACATGCTTTTGTATGGATTGGCTGTGTTGAGTAGCAAAGAGAAGTTGGCAGGGGTGAGAGCTAGAGAATTCCTATTTAATGGTTGTGAGTTTTCTGAATGCAGTTGGTTTGGCACTGCAAGATACAAGATGGCCTGCTGGCCTTACCCAGCCAGGTTCTCTATGTGTTCTTAGGACTACACCCTTTCCTTACCAAAGCAAGCTTTCTATACTTCTGAAAATGTTTGCACAGGTTGGCTTTAGAGAACATGGGGAAGCTTCTCATCATTCATGTTTTACACCTACAATTATTCCTTTCCTTGCTGCCCCAAAGATACTTTGAAACAGTGAAATCTAAAAAGGATTATATCAGATGACAGTCCACGTGCTCTAAGAAGTAAGGCTGTCAAGTTTTTATGAAAGGAACCAAGAGATTTAAAAAAGGAAGACTATGAATGGCATAAAGCTAGTTTCCAGAATATAATCTCACAAGTGATGGATGGTGGCCAAAGATCCTGGTACCAGAACAAGCCCGAAACTTCCAACGAAATACTGTTTGGGAGACTAATTCTTGAACTGTATAGCATTTGCCTTTGAATAAACATTAATAGAATGCAGCATGTACTTTTATAGTACTTTTTTCTTGAAACTACCTTTAATTACTACACTGGAATTGGCAATCTGGAATCTTCCAGATGCTTTTGAACTAAAGTTTCCAAAAGTTCACCAGATGAGCTGGAATTGACAGGAATTAAGAAAAAAGATTCTATATATGTTATTTTTAAATTCCTCCATGCAATGTTATTATTTCATTTCCAATTTTCAACCATCACATACATATATATATATACACACACAGAGACATTTTCAAATCACGTGTTTCACTTTAAATTTAGCTATTGTAAAAAAACAAATTATTAAAATTTCAGAGCAAAGTAAAGCCCTTCCATTTCTATAGGGATTACCTCTATAAATGCCAAACAACCCTTCTGAGCGTATTGTCTTCACCAAACAATCTTGCCTAGAATATGAGAGGGAGAAACAATTACAAAAACTATTTCAAAGTTGATGTTCATGTGCCTAATTATTTCTTGTTCACTGTTCTTCCATCATGTTTAGAATAGAATAGAATTGTTTATTGGCCAAGTGTGATTGGACACACAAGGAATTGTCTTTGGTGCATATGCTCTCACTGTACATAAAAAGACAAGATACATTCGTCAAGAATCATAAGGTACAAAACTTAATGATAGTCATAGGGTACAAATAAACAATCAGGAAACAATCAATATCAATATAAATTGTAAGGATATAAGCAACAAAGTTACAGTCATGCCGTCATAAGTGGGAGGAGATGGGTGATAGGATATTCTCCTTAGGGTAGCAAGACCTTCTTAGCTATGGCACCAAGACCGTTGAAAAGCTCAATTACATTCAGCTTTTAGTAAATATGCAACAGGATTCTTTTTCATTACTGATTTTATTTCTGAATGATGTAACATTATATCATTGACACTCAGGTAATTAGGCTGGTTAGCAACTGTGGGAAATGTAATTTTCCCCATCAACTCTAGCATCTTTCCCAACCTTGTGGTTGTCACAATTGCTGGGTCTGCAATATACAGGTTAGAAATTTTGAGTGTTGCTGCTTTATAAGATATATCAAAAACATTATGGGTAAAGAAAATGGAATTCTGAGGCATACTCAATAGTGTTAGGAAATCAATAGAACTCATTTTGATTCCTTTCAGCTCAAAGTATAATATTCTGTACCGTCACTCACGCACATGCCTGTGTAGACTGCTCGTCCTTGCTGATTCTGGAGACGGGTTTTGGCCAAATCAATGGGGAATACACAAGTTACCCCCACAAGGCCAGCTATACCTCCATTGATTAATTTTGCTGGAAGGCTGGGAAGAAAGAAATAGAAATAGTTACCAACATTTGTTAAAAAGCATGAGAATGCTTTCAAATCCCATTCCTCTTCTGTGGTATTCTTGGAGGTATACTTAGCAGATTCTGATGATGGTATATGTTGCATAAATGCAACATAAATATTATGAAATATTTATTTTATTTATTTATTTTATTTTATTCAATTTATATTCTGCCCTTCTTCTAGTGGACTCAGGGCGGTGCACAGCCGGAACTAAAACACAAACCAATACAAAATTTAAAATTTTTAAAAGAATTATATAACTGTGGCCCAAAATTTAAAACATTCAAACTAAAACCCAATTGACAATTTAAAAGGCTAAAAAAGGCTAAAAACGGGGGGGAGGGGGTGTTTCACGCCAGCCCTGCTTGATGGAAAAGAAAGGTTTTTAGGGCACGGTGAAAAACCCGGAGATCCGATATCCTTCGTATCTCCGGGGGAGGGCAGGAGCTGCCACAGAGAAGGCCCTCCCCCTGGGGGTCGCCAGCCGACATTGCCTGGCTGACGGCACCTTGAGGAGTCCCTATTATAGAATGGGAGAATGTTGGCCAAAGCAGTTCCAATCATTGCAGTTATTATTAATTTCCACCCTTAGGAAATTTACAGTAGATTGTGAACCCTTTGACCTCCTTCAGTTAAATTTTGCTCTTATCTTCAACATCCTTATTTCTCTCAATAATGACAAACATCACATGAACAGACCTTTGAAAACCAAGCACACAAAGGCACTACTGACCTGATCTTCTTGCTTGTCATTTTCCTTGGGTGATGGCGGCTGCTGCTACAACAGACCCAGGAAATTCTTTGACATTAAGGAACACTGTCTTTGCTGTCTTTATTTAACTGGAGACAGAAAACAATTCCTCTTTCTTTATTGGATAACAAATCACACAGTTCAAAAATAAGAATTGGGTGTTCATAGCTCAATCAAGTCCCGGGGATTTTCAGGAAAGTTTGCTGAATAAATGTGGTTCTTTTCTTCCGTTCTTTTCCCTAATAAGCCAGTTTATACTAGATACTTTCCCTGTCTCCAAACGACCTTCCCTCACGCTTACATATGAATGCATCTGAGGTCTAAGGAGCTGAAAAATAAGCGCTCAGTAACATTAGAGCAAAATGAGATGTGTGATCTTCAGTTAGTTTACTCAAGGTAACGTCAAGTGAGCTTCCGCTCTGCAAGAGGGATGCGAACACCAAAAATTTCAAGGAGTTACAATTCAGTAACATCTGGCTCCAGACCATGAACAAAAAAGAACAATCAGATCCACAGAATTCAGCCCACACCCTGCAAATGTTGAAAAAGACATTTCAGGGAACCTCAGGCCACTGTAGAATCTCTTTGTGAAGTAAGGGAAGGAGAAGTAAACAAACATCCATCTGGAAAAAGAGGAGGAGGCTTGCAAATATTACTCAAGTGTGGCTTTTATCTACCATGGTAGTTAATGTGAAAATAAGAGCTAGAAGAGCTAAAATATTTGTGGTTTGTGATTTTTTTTTAAAAAAGACAAAATTATTTAAAATTCTCTAGATCTATCCTTCTACATAATTCCAAAATCACTGGAATTAATAAACCGGACCACACCCCAGTCTAACCCATGCTAGGTTTTTGGCTAATGTGTTCTGTACCTCCAGACTTTGCATTTATTACACCACATTTATAGTCCAGTGTACTATTTAGCTAATTATAGTTTAAGCAGGTTGACATCTGAACTGAATTGGTGACAGTGGTCATATTTGTAAATTATGATTATGGTCTATTCACCATTGTCGATTGAAAGACCAACTCTTGTATAATCAAGGTTTAAATATTTGTTTAAAAACTAGTTATTAATTTAAAATAATTTTGGGTAGGCAATGTTTCTGTGCTTTTTCCTTTCTTTTTTATTAATTCAAAGGTAGAAATTGTGGTTTATTAGATAAGTCAGAAACAGCTAGATTTACAAACTTTCAGTCATAAAATATGATTTCTAAGCCATAAAGATGGAGTTCTATAAAACACATTAAGCTAGAACCAAACAACTACCATAAATGGGTGCAAAAATCTATGCAATCTGTGTTGTATTCTCTGAAACCAACCAGTGTGCTAAATGTAAAGTTAAATATGTCTTTTTGTTTCAGCCAGGAAATAGCATCAAGAGAAAATGATGGTATTTTTCTGCTTTCAACTGGATATGGTACAGCTAAAACAAACAAACTCACCCTGGGTATATTTATAAACTTTACTATGTTGTTCAGTCATTATATAATTTTTTTCCAGCCGCTCTACAAACTTTTATTTTGCAAAGATAGTACAACATATACAAACGATGAATCATATAACAGAAAAAATGTCACCAATAGTTTTACGATTAGTCATAATTCTTATGTAAACATTTTATATAAGCTTTGGAATTGCAATACTAGCACTGAAAAAGTAAGACTGCATGATGCATATTATTGATGTTTTAAACTTCTAGAGCAATCTATCTCCATGCAACTGTGCAAAAAAAATACATAGCCAGCCCTCATATACATTAGTTGTGGCAAAATAAACTATCTTTACATATTTTGAGTGTTATTAAAAATGGTAATACCAAACTTACAAAAAGTACTAAAATATACTCAATTAAAAAAGGTCAAATGTCCACCTGCAATATAAACTTTAAAAAATAGAAATATAAGTCATTCCTGTGAAATTGACCTGATTTCTCAAATCCACAACCTTTTTCCTCTACTGTAAAAAAACAACAACACCTTATTCAAATGTCAAAAATCATACATTAAGTAGCCACTGCATTAATCAGATATAAATGCATCCTAACTTTCTGGAAGCTGTTATTATTAGCTACTGGTCACTGATTCACATGCATTTCCTCATCTATAGAAAACTTCAAAATAAAACAGTTTCAGCATTTGGTTGATGGAATAATTACAATCGTTAGCGCAAATGTATCCATACAGTGCTTTATAGAGCACAAATGCAGTTTTAATTATACATATAATACACATCAGACACAAATGTTTAGAAACTACAAGAGGTTTTGGAAATAATTATTTCTGTAGCAATGTTAGAAATAAATGGCTATAAACTACCTCCTCCTAATTCACATCTAATTTCACTGAAGAAATGGACTCTCCCTCTCCACTTATACTAATTAGCATTCTCACTAGTTTGTCCCATTTGTTAGACCATTCGTCCCCAAATTCATTTGCACAAAGAATGCCATGAATTTGTAGATTGCTTTTGGAATGATAAATACTGAAATACTTTATGAATGAAATGTAAAGTCAGAAAAGTTGGGAAACTTACCTTCCTTATTTTCAAGCCGTTGGGTTCCTCCCTTCCTCCTCTCTCATTTTTAAGCATCTGACTCACATCTGGAATCCTTAAAAAAAACCACCACTCATGCCTCTTTTAAGGGACTGTCCACAAATTCCCAGTAATATTATCTGAATATACACAGGAAACCCTTTTTTCTTTCTCGCTGTTCATCTTATTTTAGGTCCAGCAAAAAAAGGGACAAACTCCAGCTCAAGCCTTTTCCATTGGATGAGGACACTTTTAAACAAATGCTGTACATTTCAGTTCATTTAGTCAAGCTCTAATTTCTCAAGCAAGGTTATATTGACTGATAACATTATATTCCATTAATGTGGTATTATGCGATGAGATTTCATATCCCCAAATCAATTACAGATCAGTGAACAATTAGGGGTCTTCCATGACTCTTAATGGGCAAATACAGCCAAGAAACATCTATGATCAGTAAGACTTTTACATAAGATTCATTAAGCCAGTTTCTGGACCAGAAGTTTCTTTACATGATGACTCATGCCACATCCTGCATGTGGGCAAATGCAATGGGCCTAACCTTGAAGACAACTCAGAAATAGCTAGTCCACAATGCGACCTCCCACTGCAAACTGTACTAGTGACCAGTAGGCTTCCAGATACAAATCAAGGTGCTGGTTGTCACCTATGAGGCATATGCTGTATAGTTTAACTATTTGAGGGACAGTCTCTCTCCTGTTTCTACTTATTCAATAAGATTGGACAGAATGTCACCTGATGCTGTCATAGTCTCTAGTTATTTAGGTATACCTTAAAGACCAAGCTTTTGCTCCAGGCTCTGATCTAGAGTGGGAGGTTAGTTTTTTTTTAGTGGATGTTTGCTCCACAGGAATGACTTTCCTTTTCTGCTGTTTGATGTTTTATATCCTTGTTTTTATTTTGCATATACCCAAAGCCAAGGGGTTGAGCGGCCTTAGAAATATGAAAAAGGTGAAAAAGAAACTTGTAATATGCAGTACAAGAAACCCCTTTCAACTCCTGGTGAACTTAGAAAGTCAGTGCTTCCAAACCTGGCTCTCTATCAGCATTAAGAATAGCAATGCATTACAATTTTAGCAACATTTAAGAAACACAGCGGTGTTTAAAGGTAGAGAAGATACCAGCCATTACATCAGCCGGCCTGCCCTTCCCCCATCTAGCAGGATCTGTTCTCAAAATCAATCCAGTCTTCCAAGAGGCTAAACACATTCTTTTTGTTTACTACACCTTGTTACACAATTGAAATATTTCATTTTAGAAGTGTTTTGGGATTTTAGTTACCATAGTTTTAATTTTGTAAATTTATTTAAAATATTTTTAATTTTAAAAAGCATTGAAATGAGATGTTGAAGTATAAGATCATCAAAGGGCATGTTTTAACTATATCCTCCTCAGCTCACAAAGATTCAAGGCCAAAGTAGATTAACTACTAAAACCCTTTTGAAACTTGATATACAACCTTACCACTTTCAAATATATTTCAGTTGATGTTATCCTTTTAGAAATTTCTCAAATAATGTTGTCTTTCTTGAATAGATTTTGTTGCTCAAAGGCCATTGTGTAAAGGAATAGTATGAGTTTAATCAGTAATGTTTAAATGAGGTAAGATGGATTCTGGTATGTTGCTTGCTTTGGATATTTGTATTTGAAATTATTTTCCTTCTAGTAAACACAAAAATCATTTTAAAAAAATCCATGTCAACTTAATTTTATATTACATTTTGCTATATCCATAACATTGCAAAATGTTGTTTATCAATTTACTGACATTAAAATAATATGCGGTAGAAACTGGAAAAAGCTTTGCCTTCAAAAATGACTTTGGAAACAAAAGAAGCAAATGGATATTTTGACAAAATGTAACTAGTAATCTCTATAGAATAAACAGCACACAAATAGTCTAGTTTTATTTACTGGGGAACTGAAAGCATGCCCAATTAAACAGACTTCGTTTAGCTATTAACAGATGTATGTAAGGTTTTTCCTTCTGTAGTTAATGTATGTATTGTAAATATTTTTTTAAAAATGAAAATGAGGGTGAGAAAACAAAACCCTTTTGAAATTAATTCATGAGAATCATTTACAAAAAGTTAGAATTTTAAGATTAACAACAAACTGAACGTATCAGCATAAATGTGACCCTTATCTGACAATTGAAGAATAGTCTAGCTGTCTAAAATAACGTAGGGTGGATTTTAATCGTTTTTCAGGTAAAGGCCAAAAGTTTTTCTGTTAAAACTAGTTGCTAATCCAAAAGACTTGGAACCTAGAGGATGGTTCTCAAATATTCCTTTCATAATGTTAGTCATGTATTTATGCATATGTGCATGTTATTTAAAATTGTCCTTTTTTTCCCCTTCCAGAGATTGATTCTCAGAGATTGTCTGGACAAGTACCTGCAGTTATGCAGGTAACATGTAAGAACAGCAGTGCAAGTCGTAAGTTTGAAAAAAGTGTAAAAAAGCAAGCAACATCTTCGCAAGACCCCAGGAAAAAAACAAGCTAAAATTTGTGACACCAATGTAACATGAATACACTTGTAGTAACTCTCCCCACTCCCTAAAAAAATATGGTCCTGAAATACAAAACAGTTATAAGCACAAAATGGTTGTCCAATCCTGTTTTAAAGCTAATAGTTTCCTGTCATGTCCTATTAATCATAGGCCTGATATTAATAATTGGACAAGAACTCAAAGTTTAGCAAGTGTTTTGATCTTAACTAATAATAGGAAGCATTTGATGGAATGAAGATAATTGCTATAGCGAACATTTCCACATAACATACCTGGCTGAAAAAGCCAATGCAGAACTTCCTCATTGTCGCCAGCTGCTGTGTGGGTGCAAAGGAAATTTGCAGTAAAATCTTTTTGAAGCTTTTTGTACTGATTGCATAGATAGCAGAGCAGGCCAGTTATAGTCAGGGTTCCACTTCAGTCAGTGATCTTCGGCAACAACAGATCCAGAGTGAATCTAAGCGTTTTGTAAAAGTAGTCCTTACAGCCACAGAGAAGACACTTTTTAACAGCAGCTTGTATTAATATCAGTGCATGGGAAATACATTCATTGGCAAGACTTCTTTTGAAGAAAAAGACCCTTTGGGGAGGAACCGGTGATTGCTCGCACACCATGCAGCCTGCTCTATGCTAATGAAGAGTTATGGACCACTCCTATTACTATGCCAGGTAGGCACAGAATTCTTGCACTGGCAAAAAAAGATTGCAAACTTTTTACAGTCCCTAGACGCGTAGGCTTTACAATGGAGAGGGAAAAAGGAAACAGCATGTGATTTACTGGCTGGGCTGCTGAAGAAAGGGGGGCAGAGACTGCTCCACCCAACAGGAAAGGAATCACTGCCATAGGCAACTTTGCCAAGGCAGATGAATATTACAGATCTCTTTGGTTACTTTATGCAGAAGAGAAACATGCTACGGCTCTGGCTTTTTAAACAATCATCACTCCCGTTACTTCCTCATTAAGTCTTCCTGAATGGATGCTGGGTGCTGTTTCTCCAGAGTTAAAAAAAAAAACACAACACCTCATGTTTAATATTAGTTTCTCAGATGTGATCCAGAATTTCTGTTGTGGTCATTTTTCCCTCAAAATGTCCCTCTCTTTTTCTTTATTCTGCAGGAACCTTTCAGAGCACTTTGGGTTTTTTTTTTGCAAACTGGTATTATAATTATCTATTTGTCACATAAATCTGCTGAAATTAAAGATTTTTCATATGGTATTTTATAAACAACTCAACATAATTGCTAAAAGAATATATTTTGAAGGATAACCAAAATACTAACTGAAACAAAGACGGTATAGGTGTATATAGTTGGGTCAGTTTTGCTATTCTGGCCTCAGTAATTTGCACCATTTTATCTCCTGGAAAGGGCAAAACTATTCCCTAAAATCAAAAACAGTTACATACAAATCTATGTCTGATGAGAAGAAAAGAATGCCTTGATCACACCACTAGTTGCTCTCTTGCAAATCCTGCATTGAATAAGTGATTTGACAATGTTAAGAAATTTCCAATTTACTCTAAAATTATTAACACTATACCTTCTACATTTTGTACAACAGAAATTAATAAGTATCATGTAGCAGGATTTTATCACTATTGGCCAAATAAAATTTAATAATAATACAGATCTGGTAGCTCAGTGGTTAAGTCGCATGGTTTTGTATTAAAAAAAAATTCTCAGATTTAATTATCAGCCTCTCCAGGCAAAATTGTCTAAAGTAACTATTTTAGGAAAGGCTACTGCCTGAAAATCTAGAGATGGTGCCAGTCTCTAGAGATAAAGGTGAGACAAACTATTGCTCTGATTTACATAAAGCTATTGTTTAATGTTCCTAGAGATTCTCATCTCCATTCCCCACACACTCTCTCAGATACACACAGACCAAATACTATTTTAAGAACATATTTTATACAAAATAACACATTCTTATGGAAATAAAATCTACAGATCTCTAAAGATCAAAACTCTTTTTTTTTAAAAAAATGAACCTTTAAAAATTATCCAAACACACATTATTAAACTAGCTATTGAGGTAACTGTCACTGCCAGGGAATCAGTAGGACAAGAGAAAATATAAACAATATAAAAATAAATAGTATTCCCTTTTCCAGTATTGACCAGGAAAGTTCAAACCTAGCTCTTTGCTGTTTCCAAAGAGGAAAGAAAGGATCCCTGATACTATAGTCCATGGACAAGGGAATTGACCAGGGCTTTTCAGGAGCAATGAGGTACCTGAGCTCCAGGTGATAAATACAGAGGAAGATATGGGGATCGTTGCTTTCATCCATGGTGTTGTCTCTAAACAATGGGCTGATGGTAGCTTCTGCAGCACAAGTTCACTCTGTGGTGGGGTGGAAAGTTCATTGTTGTGCATAGCCCAGACTATGTCAGTCTCTTGCCAGGGTTTGTTAGATATTTTCACAGCTTGATGGTGAGAGATCTCTTACAATAATGACTCATAGTTCTGTAGACTAAAAATTGTATTGATGCTTCATGGAGACTGGGATTTGATGTGCAAGGCTTCCAAGACCAAAAACATTATCTAGATGCTAGCATTCATAAAAAGAAACATTCCCTTTCTCTGACTTTAACAGACAAATTACATTCTTTACAATCTTAATTACAATAAAATAGCTCCTTTCTACCCATACAATGCTTGACCCAAGACACAAAATTTTAGGAATGGTTATGATTGGTAAAACATTGCCAGCTCAAAATCAGAATATTGACATATTTATACCACAAATATTTTCCCACAACTGGTCTCCATTTCTTTTTTCCTCCAAATTAGAAAACCTTTTTTCCTTTTATTTAGGATGGAAAAATTCAGCTGTGCAGATAAAAAATAAACAGGGCAATTAACAATGAAACAACTGGATACTTTAAAAATGTAGAAAGTTTGGAGAAAAAAATATTTCTATTTCAGTGTTAATATTTCCAATGAGGTTCAACTAACAACTGCCAAATCTAATTTGCAACCTTAAGAATCTTACAAAATGCTTCCCATTTAAATTTTTCAGCTACCTAGTAAACCAGGAGAAAGCAGCATTATTGTTGTGCTTTGTTGCTAAGTAATTCTTCTAGCTTCTAGCATCAAACTATTATGAAAAAGCAAAATACCAGAATAAGCAGGTCATATAGTGAATTATTACATCTAACTTGCAATTTATACTTCTTGGGAGAATGAATAATTGTCACATTTAGAACCTGATATAATTTAAATGAAGTTGCAGCTAAGTGAAAAATTTACATTTTATGCTCAGCTAAGATGATGGCTAAATGTAAAGGTTTATATAAAGGACTTAAGGATTTTGTCTTATTTTGATGGAGTCATTGATCATGGAGAGCAGCCTTCCTCCAAATTGATACTTTTGGCCATGTCAATTGAGAAATTCTCGGAATAGTAGGTCCATAAATCTGGAGAACATCAGTTAGGAAAGGCTGCCTTAGAGGTAACGGCTATTCTCTTGATATCCAGGACTGAATGAATTCTGCACTGTAGGACCCGCCAATTACACCTGGCAGATCCGTGCTCAAGACACATATTTGTTTTACCTTTTTACAGCTTATCAGCATCTAAATTCTCTTTAAAAGTATGACAAAGCAAATTGTTGACAAAACCTTTCTTAATAAGAACTCCTCTGACTCAAAAGATTATCATCTGGTTCTAAGATTTTAGCTGGCTTTAGCAGCTAAAATATGTCTTTGAAATTCAGTGTGAAGAGCAGGCTAACCTACGGCTTTTCTTTCAGATTCACAGTACGGTGAGGAAATTATGTATTCAGATATGCTAGGCTTTCAAACCCATCACTGCTTTCAAGCACCCTTGAAGCTCACAGGGAGTATCGAGATGAATGTTCTCACCTTTCTCCTACTTGCACTCATTAAATTATCCTTGTCACTGGCATATGTATTCATGCAGACCTGTTACTAAAGACTCCTTATTGGAATCTCGTATCTTCCATTTTTCTAGGTAGAATTTAAACATCCTATTTTGATGTGCTTCTACATATCTTTTCCTACTTGTTCCCCAGAGTGCTTGCCTAGTCTGACATTATAAACTGTCACCTTCTATTACTGCCTCATAATTTCACCACTGCAAATTTAAACATATAGGAAGTTACCTCTGAATCAGGGGAAATAGTTTATATTTTCTTTAAAAACTGAACATAGTAGTAAAGGTGAGCATTAAAAGATGCTTTATACAATGCTCATACTTCATTGTGAGGAAAGAAAGTCCAGCTTCCTTAACTCTTATAAAGGCCACTACAGGGCATAATTTGGTGAAAACTCAAGAGAACCCAGAAGTTGGGCCTTCTTCCTATTTCCTTCCACCTGTGCTAGATAGAATTTGAATTCAAGCAAAAAACTAATTACATTCTCTGGTGTTTAAGAACTCTTTTCTTAAGGCTCTTTACTTAAAATTTGTTTGAAGAAAAATGCAGTGGGACTAATTACATAGAACATATTGTAACATTGACTTACACTGAGAAAACCTTTTAGTAAAATGGTAATAAATCTTAAGTAGGTTCAGAATGATATACTAACAAAGGAGTAATATGTCTATGCATTTATATAACATAATAATTCTTTTTCTTTGAAAGCCAAAAAATCCTGATTTGGGATCAAAGAAAAGTAAACTATCTTATCATTATTCTCTTCTATCAAGGTTTAGAATTCAGAAGCTCATTAAATTAACAGCCACCTCTTGATAAAAGAAAACTTTTAACTTGCCGTTAAGACAATAATCACTATTGAATAGGAGATACCAGTTGGAGTAAAACATATATAACTAACAAAATACTACTGCTGGTAAATAATACCAAAGGTTTATTTTAAAATTCTAACCATGAGTAAGGAGGAAAAACCCTCAAATTGCTAATATGTAAGTAGTTATTTTGGGGAGCAGAGGCGAAACACATTTCAAGTAGTGATTACATGAGTTAACTTTAACCACCAAGACTTTTCATTTTGAAAAGCATTATTCTAAATGATCCCACAATCTTATTTTCTACCATACTCTATTCCCAAAGGTTTAGAGAAAAGCAAACAGGATTTAAAAAAAATATTTCCACATGAAAAGCAAAGATCTTGCACAGGTGAAATATTCTGCACCCCATCTAACTGGTAAGCAGACACAGATAGGTTGGAGTGAGAAGATTATTGCATTAGACGGCTCTTTCATCACAGCAAGCGTAAGGCCTGAACCCATGATCAGACAAGCTCTAGCTGTGTTATTCATTGATCTTGACTGTACAAGATAATTTATAATAATTTGAAAATAATAATTTGAAAAGCAAACCTTTTTTAATGAAATAAAGCCAAAACCCTAATTCATTGGCTCCCTAGAAGTAACTAAAAATCACATGCTTAATAGATATGACAGATTACACTGTTACCCTAAATGTTTATGGAGGGATGGTTTTAAGTTCATCCAGATAAGCTGATTGCAGACTTTTCACAACCAAAACCCTGCTTCCTTGTTTTGAGCAGTTGGGTCTTCCCTTTCTAAGCATGCCCCATAACCAACCAATTTGTTTCAAAGAGCAGAATACAATGCCTTTGAAATGCGTTTCCAAACTAACGTACTAGAAGAGATGAAATGGAAGAACAGAATGCTTTAGAATGCTAACTAAAGATGGGCTCTTTGAAATCTTACATCAATTTTATACGTTCTTCGCCTACCAGTTTATAAAATTAGGTTATTCTTTTTAGTTTCTTAGAAATTGGTAAAATAATTAAAAATAATTTGCATGCCAAAGTTACATGGGATGAATAAGGTATATGTAAGAAAATATATTTTTCTTTTCTTTTAACATGTTCCTAGGAAAATTACTGCCCCTAACAGTTGTATTAGTTGCTTAGCAGACAAGATGCTAGCTGTTCTTAACTGCATCAGGTCGTCTGAAATGGTTATGACTGTGAATCTGCTTGTCTTTAATTTGGTTTTGGGACTGCAACAGGGATGGGACACAGAACATTTTTCTCATTTCTGCATTGCTTTTCATGTTTGGTATGAAGTCACTCCAGGTAGAACGCAGCAGAGAAACTCAAATAAATATTGGAACTTTTCTATTTAGTCACAAACAGTGGGAGGAGTAGAGGCTAAGGGATGAGGACAAGCACTGTCTTACCCCGTATCTTTATATAAAATCTAATTAACAATGGAAAAATTATATGTCAATAGAACATTTTAACAATCTCTGGGAGAATTGTTTACCTTTTTCAGATTCATTAAGTTAGAACAAAGCACCATATTAGACTAATCCAAGCATTCACACTGAAATAATAAATATCATTGTAACAAATTCAAGTATTATCATATAAATCTGCAATGCTACTTTCATTATTTTTGCTTATAGCATGATGTATTTGGCAGATTTTCTATAAGCCATTTACAAGTAGGTTTGCTATTATTTATGTACTTAGATTTGTTGGCCACCAAACTCCAATTCATTGGTTGATTCAGAAACTTATTTGTGAAAGACTGAGCTAATGTGTAAGCTGTCCTGTGATACCTGAAATTATTAAATGAACTGTGTGAATGTATAGGTGATTTCATAGTTTCATTTTCATCTCTTCTAGCATACATGCTTCAATAACCATATATAGAATCAAATGCTGTCTGTCCCCAACAGCGTATCTGGATCCTCTTAGAATGCTGAAATTTAAATGGAGATCTATTTCTGAGTTGCACTAATCAGAGCATGGGGCCAATCACACTTAAATAGTTTAGTATGCATCATTTCCTGTCTAATATTATTATCACTGGGCTTTACTAAAGATGCTGTTGCAAGATTTCTTCCTATCTTAGGATTTTAGAGACAATGGTTTCAATATTGACTGATATATGGGTGAATCTCGGAAATGATGAAACAAATGCTACATCTCACATAAAAATCCCAATATTCTGAAAATTCCAGTTCCTTTCTTCCTACAGCAGTACTGCACACAATCCATGGGCAGGAGATCTAACACTGTGCTTTCTCCTGAATAAATGTGATCCATTAGTAAGTATTCCTCAAATCCAAACTACCAATAGGCAGCACTATCACATTGTAGAGGAAGAATTTTGCCATTTTCTACATCTACCTTCTTAAAAACAAAAAAGGTATGACATGATTGTAAACATCTTTTGATCATCCCAGTGCTATGCTTGCACATGTTGAGTCTACAACCTCAATCCTAATCATGTACAATACATTCACAAACAGATGTTTTTCTTTTGTTTTTTAAAGGCAATAGGTTAAAAGGTTTAAAAAAACTGTAAACTGGTTTCCATCCCAAGCACACATATTAATACAAGTATTATCCTCTATCTCCAGTCTTTCACCCTGAAAAATATACCTGAGTTTTAGCAGTTAATGAAAGTTTTAAGTCCTTCAAACTTTCCTTAAACCCTGAATGAAATAAACCCTCTGATCAGAAACAAAGCCCTAATTTGAGACCCTCTCTCTTGATTCGCTGTGGGATTGTTTGTGACAGGCATACTGCTGGCTCAGATTTGGGACAATTCCACTGTCAATTGGGCACTGTGTTGCACAGTACCATGGAAGCCAAATCATGCTAGGAATAGAAAGGATGCTCCCTTTGTCCATATCTATTCATATGTGGCTCTTTCTTCTGGGTATTCTTCCGTAGATTAGGTCTAGAAAAGATAAATGAAAGCAATTAATACAAGTTTCAGAAAGATTAAAAACATGAAAATAAAAAACAATTAAAAAGATACTATGTAATATCACAAATATGTGAGTGTGTTTGACTTGTCCGGTTTTGGCTTGTAAAACAGTAGCTTCAGAAGCATGTGAGGAGGATAGCATTACAGACGTCCTTTATAGGGGATGCAAACAGCAGTGTTAGGGTTTGAGTTTAGTGGCATCCCATTTCACTGGAGGAGAAGCTGCTAACCTGGCTACCTATTTGCATATTTCCAACAAAAGAGGTTCAGTAAATGTACTCAGATATTTAAGGCGGATATCCAAAAAATTAGCTCTACTGACCTCAGGTATAAAATTATATTGTTAATGTACAATCCAGTTGGCTTTCAGACCAACAATTTCAGATAAATCTAACATGGCATTAAATTATTTTACACTAATTTAACCCAAATTTTTGTTGTGTGATTTTGACAAATCACACAGCAGCAAAATCATTAGCCCTGGAAATAATATAAGGATTCTCATGATAGGCTGCCTTACAAATTTGCTATGTGGATTATCAAGAGGTACTGTGAATAATCATAAATGCAATATCAACTCAAAGAATTACTGTTCCTCAGTAGGATGTTGAGGACGGATAAACGAAGAACATTGGCAGTGTATGCCAAGAGTAGATAATCCCAGCAGGGTCACATAAGGTATGAAAGGCACTTCAACTGCCCAGTTAAACAAGCAGGTGCCTATGTTGAGTTGCAATGATACAGAAGGGCATGGAAGATTACTTTAGTGATAAAAGTAAAAGCATAATTTTACAAAATAGAAAATCACTCCTGTACTTTACCAAGAAAACACATGGATAGGAAATATGATTAATAATGACACAAAATTATGGGCTCCTCAGTTTGGATGGCAACATGCTACTGAGGAAGGACCAAGGGTCTTTCATAGTACTAATGGTGTTTATGATGAGGCTAGATTAAAACCTTTGAGATGTCTAGTTGATGATGTTGCCATGCAAGGGGGAAAAAATCTGCAAAGAGCTGCAAAGTGGGAAATGGAACGTAAGAAGCACAAACATAGAAATGCTCAACACAGAGAAAGATATATAGGGATATCTTAGGCATCAGTGAACTGAGATGAACTGGAATCACATACAAACGTATACCTTTGGTTTTGGATCATTTACCCCAATAAATAAATAAATAAATAAATAAATAAATAAATAATAATAAAATGAACAAGTACAAGGTTTTTAATTCATTTAACTGGGTTCTCATGTTTTCGGTCATATTTAGCAAAAATACTGAAAATTCAAAAAGAGCTCACAAACTTTTAAGCATCACTGCATATGATAGCTACTGTAAGAGTCAACACCAACTTGATGATACATTCAATCAATCAATCAATCACTCACATATCATCTAGAAAGCATCTTATTTACTAGATTAATAACCTTAGCAAAATGCATGCAAGTTGACCTTTACTTCCCACTTAGACAACTAGAAATCTCAAATCTTTCAAAAGGATACGCTATCTTCTAAATGCTATTGTTTACTTGTACTTACTTGATCTAGAGGCAATGCTGGTGGTTTTCGTGGTTGCAGCTCTTCCAGAGTTGAAGTTGATGTAGGCACCTTTGGGAATGGAGTTTGTGGCTGATGTATGTGCATTCTGAAATCACAGAAAACAGAGAAAAACTATAGTAACCACATACCTTTTCATAAGTATCTTTAATCCAAAAATAATTAAGGCGCCATGTGTTAAGATTTCCTGCAGAAGAGAGACAGATTAACCTGTTTGATTGCTCATAGGTTTTTAATTCATGTGTTGATATTCTCCTGAACTTTCTTTACAAGTTCACTGCATTCACTGGAGGACACTGTATTTAGTGGTTCCACTGCAACTTCTGAGGACAGTCTCAATAAATAGTGTTTTATCAGTATGTTTTTGTATCCTGGCAGCTATGCTGCAAGCTGCCACAAGGTTCCATTTTGTCTCCAATGTTATTTAACCTCCCACACAAAACCCGAGAAGGCCATTGAAGTTCTGGAGCTAGACAACATCAAAATGTTGAACACCCATCTTCGTAAAACAGACTATATATTTCTGAAGCAAAATATGAACACACTTGTAGAATAAATGAGGATTGTTTAAGTGACCTCTATACACGTAATCCTCAACTTTTGACCACAATAGGGACCAGAAAATTTGTTGTTAAGCGGTATGGTCATTAAGTGAGGCATCATGTAACCGCTTTCAATTTTACAACCTTTTTTGTCATGGTCGTTAGGTGACACATTATGTGACCACAACTTGTGACCTCCTGGCTGGTGATGATGCCTATAATTATAATTATTTAGTTCCTTTTAAAGACCTATCTCTTAACAAGGCGTTTCCTGTATGAATATTTTTGGCTTCATTCTTGTTTCGTTTCTCTCACTTTTTAAATTATGTTTTTTAAAATACTGTTTTAACTTACTGGTAGCATTTTAATAATTTATTATAAATAACTGAAATTTTAAATAATGACAGTTTATATAAGATTACATTTAGTAACAACACAATTCCATACATACCCTGGTGTTCTGTACATATCTGTACGTTGCCCTCCCAGGTTAGTTCCACGTCCTGCTTGTTCCATCATTAAGGCCTGAAAATGTCCCACATTCTCATCTTGGCAACGGTACAGAGGTCTTTCAAGAGCAAGACCATTGGATTGACTGGTAGCTTGATGATGTGACAAGTGAGCATTCACTGTTGACCCATAACCTCTGGCCTGGAAATGGGCAGCTGGATGTCGTGATGCATATGGTGACGCTGTCTGCAGCATGATGCCATGGGGTGGGAAAGGGCCAAATCCAAACGCAGAAGAACTCACAGACGGCAAGGAGGTGCCGTACAAATACTCTCCTGCCGCAACTGATCTTTGCCTCTTGGTTGTGGCGTTATGGTTGTCCAAATCAAGGAATTCTTTGGGACTCTCAGGCCTTTCTTGGGGCTCCTCTGCTTTCTCAGATTCAAGGGACAGTTCTTGTCCGTTGGCTGAATCCTCTTTGGTGCCTGCTATGTCTATTTGATTTGGGGAAGCCAAAGTGGCGCTAAGCACTTCACAGTTCTGCATGCCACTGCCCACTGTCCCTCTGTCTGAGAAAGGTGGTCTGGCCACAGGGGACTGGGTAGGTGAATGCCCAGTGGGGCTTGATGGGTGAGGGAAAGGCCTCTGCCAGTCTGAATAGCCTTGTGGACAAGTATAGTAAGGAGGCTGCTGATAATGATGATAAGGAGGCGGCTGAGGATGGTAAGGGTATGGCACTCCCTGGTGAGAACGATAGCGAGGGTAAGTGCCATGTGAACTGTTGCTAGCATGAAAGCCCCGAGCAGAAAAACGCGAATGTGATATTGAAAGGGGTTTTGCTCCCATTATAGCACTAAAACCCTGAAATCCAGAACTGATGTGATATTGTGTGGCTGAATTTGGATATTCCATGTTGGGCATATAAAGAGGAGCAAATTGGCTAGAAGTGCCCCCTATTGGATTTCCATCCACACTAGCAGGGGTACTTGTGCTCTGTCCCATGCAAGCCACAGTTGCTTCTAGCAGATTTCCACCTCCAGTGCAACCAGGCTTTTCTATTATATTAGCAGGTACACTTTTCTCTTCAGTACCACCAGATGACCCTTCACCTATAGCATCATTTCCAGGCAATGGTCCTCTCTCCATAACTGTTACAATATCACCCAGACAACTCTGAGATACAGAACTTGTATAGTTATTCTCTGCTGGCCATGTGCTCTTGTTTTGTGTTGCTTTTGAGCTGTTCTTAGCGTCAGGATTATTTCCCTCCACTTCCTGCGTTAAATTTTGCCGGGAACAGTCCATTTGCAATGGGACTTTAGAATGAGGTAGCAGCTTGGGGTATGTCTCTTCTGGAAGACACTCCATTTTCTGATTCACTTCTGCTAGAAGCTCTAATGCACAAAAAAAACAGAGGCAGTTTAGAGAAAAAGATTTAACTCAAACTTCTTTCATTATATGAATTGACACCTCTAGCATATGTACGGGGTTCTATTTCTCAGTATCTGAGGCACAATATTAATTTAGGAATTAATACAATTCACAATTTGTTTAGGAAATGAATTTACAAGCTTTTCCAGTTTATTATTAATGTGCACGCATATGCATACATGCAGTGCTACACCACAATAAAAGGGGCAGGGAAATTTAATGTGAAACTGCCTTAGTGGATATCAAAACCAAAAACATAATTCCAATTCTTCAGTTAATACCACATTTGCATGCTGCTGAATGTCATACTATCACCAGTTGTAGAAAGTTGTAAATAGAACAAGAATATAAAGAATATAATATATAATAAATCTCCCAAATTTCCTTCACAATTATAGAACAGCAGATAAAAAGGAAAGGTCTTATACAAGTTTACCCAAATTATAGCTCTCCAAGTGTGTTAGAATCATAGTTTCCATGGACTATACTGCTCAGCTCAATTTGCTTCATTCCAATGGGGGAGTTAGTAGCATATTAATATTCAATCAGTATTTATGCATGGCAAAGCATCAAAGCTGACAAATTCCAAAGAAAATCCAAAGGACAATAGCAGTTTCTAAATAGGTCCACCACATTATATAACAGAGCAAGTACCTCCAAAACAGCATGCAGTAGTCACCATTTAGCCTCAATGAAGCAAGAATATATAATTACCTTGATTGTTCTCTGAATTAATTGTCTGGCTGCCATCTTCAGAATTCCCATTCCTTAATACTGGTTTTGGAAGCTGAATATTAGCAGTTGCTGCATGAGTTAATTGTGGGAATGGTCCAGATAAATGTGAGGAAGGAGGCTGATGTGAGTGATAAGGCATGCCGGGTGGGCATACCCGGGAGGACAGCT